CACTCCCACGTGTGTGGCGACCGTGGAAAATGTCAGTTTTGTAGCAAGGCGTTTTTCACATACCAGCAGGTTAGGCAACACGAAAGGCGGTCTCACCCCCCAAATGTACACCTCCGTGGTCCAAGCACCCAATAACCATTGGCTCCGCTGCCCAGAATCTGCACCACAGAGTTCTTCATTTCAGGATCAGAAAGGCCATTTTCCTTTACCGCCAACAACGCGGATTCACTGAGTTCGACGGAACCCTTGTTAAAGTAGTTCTCCACTATATTTTATCCAGAAGGCTACAGGGAAATGCATATAAAATCGTATCCCTCGACATCAGGAAAGCCTTCAACAGGGTCATCAAAATAATGGGCATCGAGGACGGGCTAAGGGAATACATTATGGCATCCCTGGCTGACTCCACCACCACCACCACCATCAGAGTCGGCAACACCTCCACCCGTCCCATCAACATTAGACGCGGTTCCAAGCAGGGGGGCCACCTTAGCCCCCTGCTGTTTAACCTTGTAGGGGATGAACTTCTGAAACGGGTTGGTACGATTAATAAGGGTCTATCAGTTGCAGCACTAGCATTCGCGGACGACATATTCATAATGAAGGATAAACCGCAGAACGTGCCCATCATGCTACACGAGATGTCGACATTTTTCTCCAACAGGGGCATGGGCTTAAACCCGGACAAGTCAACATCAATATCTGCCGTGCCCTCCCGTGGCACAGTGTGTTAAATTGATTATCTAGCTAGACAAAACCTAAATGACATAAAAAATTATAAATTTTCTTTGGAAGCGGGGTATTTGGGTTCACTGAATCCAAATCTGACATCCAAAATGCAGAAATTAAATTCGTTAATTACAAAATGACCGGCGCCTTGTAATAAAAAATAAACTTTCGGCTTCGTCGAAAATTGGTCAACTTTCGTTTTTCCAAAGAAACGCCCTGTATATTTTTGTATATTTGAAATCTGGAGAAAATTTTGAATCCGATAAATGCACATTCGCTACCATTTTGCAATTGACCTTGAATTTTTGTCCAGTTTTAGTTTTCAATCCAGAAAGCTGCAATTTGGAGAATCAATTAGTTTTATCATCCAAATTTGCAGTAAAATGCATAAATAGTAAATTGTTTTTTTAATTAACTCAACTTTTTAAATACCATCAGAGTGGCTGCTAATATTTTTTTAAATACATATGTTTTCCCCAATCAAAACCAACCAATGTCATAAAAATTCGGTTAGTGTTTTCCACGAAAATTACACTTATGGAAAACTTAAATTACAAAAAAAATTAAGATCATTATAAAATTCCCGCGAAAGTGTAAGTATCGAATTCAAAATTTTCTCCTGATTTGAAATATGCAAAGATATGCATAGGGTTTCATTGAAAAAACAAAAGTTGGCATTATTTCCGGGGAAACCGGAAGTTTTGTGGTATCCATTGAAGGTTGAAATAATTATAAATTAACTCTTTATTATTGCTCCCAAATTTCAACTCTATTCCAAAATTTAATAGTAAAAAAGGAGTGAGCCGGTTTTTGGTTTCACCCTGTAGAAGAGGCAAATTGGGGCAAGAAATAAAGGCACATAAGTAATCTTTAGACGTTATAAAACAAAACAAATATTGATAGTGCACCCGATATTGCTCGATTACAATACTTCTTGCTTAATAAATATTGTCCATATTTAACAACACCAAGTGAATTTTTATATCTATAGCCTGTTGCTGATTACTGATATTATAAATCCCTAATTATAAAAAATAAGTAATATATACCTAGATTCATAGCGGCAAAGTTCAAAATTTGATTTAACTTGAAACAATGTCAAAATCACTCCACCTTTCTGCAACACATACACGGCTAAGTATATTTATAAAAAACGATACGCCCGGAACTGGCACCTTCATAGTGCTGAATACACTGTTACAGTACGTTCTAATTAATGGAAATCATAACAGGGAGAACTGAAGAAGCTTATTTAATTAAATTTGTCTTAATTTCAGGTTGTTTTAAAATTAGGTTTTGTCTAGCTAGATAATTAATTTAACACACTGTGCATGGGGACGAGAAGCCGACGCCAGCCTCCCGACCTGTATTCTCCGTGCACAGCCTCAAGATCCCCGTGGTTCAGGACCTCGCCACCTTTAAGTACCTGGGCCACCAATTTGGGACCACTGGAATCCACAAACTGTCTGCCACAACATTCAGCGCTGGAACCACCTACTATAAAAAGCCCCGATAAAGCCTGACCAAAAGCTGTGCCTTATGAGGAAGCACCTGATCCCCAAGGTGCTGTACGGTCTGCAGAATACACGCGTGACCGGTACAGTTCTCAAAGACGCGGATCGGATGGTAAAGGCAACTGTGAAGACCATGTTGCACCTGCCAATCCATACTCTGGACGCCATCATTTACGCTTGCGCCCGGGATCCTATGCCTGCGATCCGCTATCGTACAACAGCTTTTGGGAAGGCTCAAAAATCTCTTAGCGAGGTCAGAGGACCAAACCATCTTGTCGGTCCTCCAGTGCGACAGGCTGAGGAACAAGATAGGCCGGCTCCAGCAGCTATCTGGGGACATACCAGACAACCAAATGTTCACCGGCATCCAACACGCGGTGGACGACCCATCTAGCAGATCCTGGCTTACCCACAAGCCCCGAGGATGAAATGGAAGGGACTTCGTGAGGGCAGTTCACCTGCGAGGTAACTGCCCTCCAACCATCAAACCCACCGAAGCGCCAGAAGTGTCGTGGCGTCTGCAACCGGAGCGAGTCACTTAATTACCCAATCTTTTTTCTTATTGCATCTTTGAATGGAAGTTGCAAAATAAGGTCGAATGTATTTGCCGTGTTTCGCACATACCCTGAACCTAACAGTTTTAGATGGACTCACCAATGACGATGAAGAACTTCAACACCTGCTAAAGTTCAAAAACATAGTACTACATTTCAAAAAAATTACTTTGACAATGGAAAAACTAATGTAAGAGCAACGTAAAAAAATAGACAACCACTGAAACAACTTCAGCAGGTGGTAACTTGTTGAAATAGTGTTTTATATATGCTGGAAAGACTACTTATTCTAAATGAAGATGATTGCACCTCTACTCGACACCTGTGCCTTAATTTTGCCCAAAATAAATCCAATTTGTGGCAGGGCTCAATATGCGCCTTGTCCGTTCCGAAATGGGACTCATTTTGACACACCTCATTTTCGCAATGTGTTTATTTGAATATACTTCGGGGTTTTCTATGAGAACAATGTCGTATGAAATAGTTAAAACTATAGAAAATAATATAGTGCGTCCAGGGGCGGATCCAGAAATCGGTCAAGGGGGGTTTTAGCTAAGTGCATATATATACAGGGTGTCACCTAATAAATTGTCATCCTTTGGGGGGATGATAGTAAACTCCAAAACAAGACAGTTTTTCCTTTATCATTTTTGCATTGGAGCTTCTGTTTTTTAATAAAAAAATTATAATTTTTTTTTGGCAAAACCAGGGAGCCACTGGATGTCACTGACCTATCCTATAACCTCTAAAAACAATGATATTATTCATCCAAGCAAAAAATAAACAGGTATGCGCACAGTGTATTATGTAATATCAAGCAAACTTTTAAACTTATTTAGAACTTTGTTATCATAAATTACTAATAGTTCGGTTGTTATTGTAATTTCTCTGGGATACATGAACAGTTTGATGTACCAAAGCGAAGTTGACACATTAGAACAACTCCGCGAACTCCGCGAACTTGTCACTGCAGCGGCAGATGAAATCTGAAATCATCCGGATACTTTGTGTGGGTAATAACGGCGGGATAGTTGAACATTTATTATTATTTTGTGGAACACTTGAAAACCACGGAAACTTCGAGATACCTAACAAAAAAAATGTAAGTATTGTTTTATTCAAAGTACCTAAAAATAGCTGAGTATGCAAAACAAAAAACAATTATCAACAAGTAATGAATGATAACACAAATGTAAATTTTTAATAAATGTAGAGTATTGCCCACTGTACGAGCATGTTTTAGCAATTTGTCGTAGGTCAGGAACAACCAGTGGCGGCTCAAAATTTCTACTTTACTTATACAAATTTTATTGATTTTTTATAAAAAAAAAATGTCACTAATGCAAAAATGATAGAGGAAAAACTTTCTTATTTTGGCGTGTACTATCATCCCCTTAAAGGAAGAAAACTTATTTGGGGACACCCTGTATACATACACACATTTACTTGAAAAGAAAAAGGGATATTTAAAATTTGAATATTTCAGATACCGCGCCAAAAATCATTAGATAGAAGCACTGTTAGATTGTCAGCGTGTGCTATCGCAAAGTGTCTTATCAAATTTTCATTGGAAAAAGTTGTGTTTGTTACGAAAAAAGCGAAGAAGAGGACTTTATTTCGCATTTTACTCGGCTTGATCCGGAATCCGAGCCAGAAAATTAAAAAAAGAAGAGAAATCGGTAATTTGAAAATGTTTATTGTGTTAAATCGACACTTTGTCGTTCCCAGGTTCAAGTATTTTTACCTTACTCAATAACAAATCAATTAGCATTTAGAATAATAAAATCTTAAATAAAGAAATAGTTACAAAATATACTGAAACAATCATATTTCGAGAATGTAGAATTTAAAATATAGATTCAAAAATTATTTGGTTAGAGTCGAATTTCCAACCTAATTAAATTTTTTAATATTTCGTTAAACAAGAATAAAAATTTGACCTCGAAAGAGTTGGTTCCGGACACCGTTTAAACGACACACAGTGTAGCAGTTCCTGATATTCAAGAGACCTCTAAAGTGCATCGACTCATCTTTAAGACAATATTCTGAGTTTTCCCAAGAATGACATTGGAATCATTGCCAGTACACTATAGAGACCCAGAAACTCATGTACAATAATAAAAATAGCCAATTATTTATGGGAACCACCGGCCGAATTTAAATTTCCAAAATTAGGCGTCAAGAATTTGTCTTTCCAAACAAAATGGTTAGAAGAATTTCGCTGGATGGTGAATATTGTAAGTATTGCGTAGCTTTTGGAGTGTCTATTGGTGGAATAGGTGATATGAAGCTGGGAAAGCTTGTCTTAACAATTCAACGTATGGAAGCATGCAAAGGAGACGTTCCAAAAACATGAGAACAATAACTACCATAAAAAATCCGTTTTGAGTATCGAACACCTACAAGATATTGAGCTTGGAAAAAATAAATCACTTGATCTGCAATTGACCTTAAAAAAAATCCAGAAAAGAAAATCATGAAAAACTGAAACGGACGACAAGGAATCGCTCTTCGTGGTCATAGAGATGACGGACCTTAGGTCCAAGATGAATCCAACACGAAAAACGAAACTGATGAATTCGTGAATAAAAATGCGACATATTTGAGTAAAACAACTAAAAACGAAATTATTAAGAATTTTTACGAATTGATAAGAGGAAAAATCGTTGAAAAGTCAATCAATCTAAGCGCTTCTCAGTTTTGATAGACGAATCGACCGATATATCCAGCATTGAAAAATTTTCCATTATCGTACGATACTTGGATTTAAAATTGAATATCCGCGAGGATTTTTTTGGATTTGTCCCAGTTACCGACGTGACAGGATAAGATTTAGCCGATTTAATGAGAAAATATTTACATGAAATTGGCGTCGATTGCTCATTTATACGATGGAGCTTCAGCAATAAGCGGCGAATCAAATGAAGTACAGGCACACCTAAAATCGTATTTTCGCCCGGCCCTTCATGTACATTGTGAGCACATAGCTTCAGTTTGGCGGTCAATGCAGCTTGTGAAGTATCTGGTATCAAAAAAGCGTTGGGAATCGGATCGATTTTATTGATTGATACTATTGATTTATTTAAAGCGTATATACTAGCAAACTTATTTTCCAAGATGGTTTAGCAAAGACTTAAAAGATCTATTTAAAAAGAATATTTCCCATAAAAGGTTTAAACAAAGTGACAGTTTCTCTGATTAAACTTTTTCTAAACTCAGGCATTACTGTAAAATTCTTAGTATAACATGTTATGATAAATACATTTTTGACGTTGAATCCTCTATAACAAATAATACTAATTACTTTTGGAAATTTTACAAATCCAAATCTAAGAATAACAATATTTCTTTTGTTATGCAAGTTACAGGTGATTCTAATATTGCTGAGGCTTTTTCAAAAGTCAGTTTACTTAAACCAAACCAGGTATACTCCTGCTTCTATAAATAGCACAAATAATAATGATTCAGTCCTTAGTAACATAAAAGTATCTTAAGATGAAATTTTGATAACTTCTAATGAAAGTCAAGGTCCGGGTCCGGATCTCATACCACCTTGTTTCCCAAAAAACTGTTTGTTGTCTCTTTGTTATACATTAACTATTCTTTTTAATACGTTTCTATCTACATCCTCGTTTCCTAAACGTTGGAAAATTTCTAACGCTGTTAAAAAGGGCCCAAAAAATGATATTCATAACTATAGACCTATAGCTATACTTTCTGCTATTCCCAAATTATTTGAAAAAATTTTAACACCGTATATTACTTATTATTTAAAAAACATTATTGTGAATAAGCAACATGGATTTTTCCCTGTTCAAGCTGCCAATACAAACCTTTTGTCATACACTGATTTTATTAATTCAACTATTGAAGGTGGAGCTGATGTGCATAGTATTTATACAGATTTCATCAAAGCTTTTGATAGTGTAAATCTTAAATTACTTCTGGCCAAATTGTAGGCTTACGGTATTAGAGATCCTCTTCTGGCCTGGTTTAATAATTATATATAATATATGTTTGGTTTCGATGGTAATTTGGTTGCTATTTATTGTAAAAATATAATAAAAAACTTCATAAATTCAAGACGTCAATTTCTATCTAAAATAAAAATAAGTTAAAACAATAAGAGAAAACTACAAACAAAACATTGGTCCTTCGAACCGGATACTCCGGTGATTGTGGAAGAAGTCGGCAAATAATCAAGTTGCGAATTCTACCAATTTTGTTCCATGTTATTCAATTTCACCTCCCCAAAGGCATTCCTGGATTGGGTGATTATCCTTCCGATCCACGTTGACGAAGAACGATTGGTTCAGGTTTAATTTGCGAACCTGGTCTATACATTTGCTGCGGTATCTGCCGTTTAGACTTTACCGCATTTTACTCGGTAAGCTTTCATTTTGCGTTTTATGGTAATATAAAGATTCATATTCAATTGGTGTTTGATAAATTCGTCTATTTTATATTTTGACATTTATTCTGTCAGAGTGTTTGCTATAATATTGCTTCAATTAATTTATGATGCCTGAAGATTTAAAGACTTTGATTAAGCGCAGGGGTATAATTAAGGGTTGTATTACCAGATTTGGTACCTTTTTTTCACTGTTTCTGATGAAACAACTGATGCTGAAATTGAAGCTAGGCTAAGTAAATTAACTGCTAATTTTGATGAATATGGAATAATTCAAAACCAAATTGAAATATTGCATGATGAGGAAGATCCTAGCGAACGTATCGAGGTTGAAAACCATTACTTCAGCTTAGTTGGTGCTGTAAAGACACGATTAAGTTTATCTAATAAAGATGAATCTCCTTTTTCTTCTTCGTTTAACCATTCTCACTAAGAGATTAACATTAAATTGCCACAAATAAGTTTACCAGAGTTTTCAGGCAATTATGAAGACTGGGTTCAGTTTTATGATTCGTTTAATGCACTTATACACTCAAATACGCAGCTTACAAATATCCAAAAATTTTACTATCTTAGGTCGGCCCTAAAGGGTATGCTGCCTGTGTTATTCAATCATTAAAAGTTTCAAATGAAAATTATTTTATTGCGTGGGATTTGTTAAAGGACAGGTTTGAAAATAATAAATTAAGTGTTAATTCGCATATTAAAAAGATTTTTGATTTGCCAAAGCTTTACAAAGAGTCCCATGTTCAATTGCGAAAATTTCTCGACGTGTTCTCTGCAAACTACAGATGTTTAATGTCTCTTAAACAGCCTGTTGATCATTGGGATACTATTTTAGTGTATATTCTTACTTCTAAATTAAATTTAGAGACACGAAAAGAATGGGAATGTTCACAGGGTAAATCTATTCCAACTTTGGATGATTTGCTTAAGTTTTTAACAAATAAGTATGAGACTTTAGAAAATTTGGAAGTAAAAGAGGTTAAATCACCTTCTACCAAATCACACACATATTTGTCTGAAGAAAATACTGTAGTTTCTGCACCAAAATGCCAAGTTTGTAATGGCTCGCATGTAATATTTTATTGTAATCAGTTCTTGACTCTGAAACCCTTTGATCGGTATACCAAGGTCAAGGAATTAAATTTATGCACTAATTGTCTTAAGCCAGGACATTCATGCAGCAATTGCGCCTGCGGTCCTTGCAAACATTGTGGAAAAAAGCACAACAGTGTATTACATTTTCAAAATAAAAATCTAAACTCGCGAAATAAAAGTCAAAATGCTTTGTCTTTGAACAAAAATATTGCCAATTCAATAAATAATGAGGAGTGCATTATAAATACGCACTGTGCATACCCGATAAAATCATTGATAATGCTTCAAGCAGCCCAAATATATCTTTTTAGTTCAACTGGAGAAAAAGTTAAATGCAGAGCGCTCTTAGATTCAGGGTCCCAAAGTAATTTTATCTCCAAAGATTTGTGTAAAAAATTGAATTTATCAAAATCCAAAATAAATGTTCCAATTACAGGAATTAATCAATCGCAAAATATTGTTTCTCATATTACAAATGCCAAACTTGAATCTCTTCACAATTCATATAATAATAATTTATCTTTTTTGATTATTGAAAATATCACAGGAAATATTCCAAATCAAACATTTGATAAATCGTATGTTAATGTTCCGAAAAACATAACTTTAGCAGATCCTGAATTAAATATTGCTAATAAGGTTGATGTTTTGCTTGGGGCAGGTATTTTCTTTGAATTACTCTGCGCTGGTCAAATTAAGATTAAAGGCCAACCAATATTGCAGAAAACACAGTTAGGTTGGGTTGTTTCAGGTGCTACCAACATTTCAAGTAACCAATCAATGTCAATGCATTGTGCGACAAATAATATTGATAATCTGCTGGAAAAGTTTTGGTTGGTCGAAGATTTGCCTGACAAATCAATAAATTTTTCTACTCAAGAAAGTGAAGTGCAGGCTCATTTTCTTGATACTGTTTCCAAGGACAAGCAGGGTCATTTTGTTGTTAAATTGCCTTTTAAAAATAATATAAATAAAGTGGACACAAATTTACAAAATGCCAAAAATAGGTTTATGTCCCTTGAGCGTAAATTAAATAAAAACCATAATCTTAAATTGTTATATCATGAATTTATTACTGAATACCTAAATCTGGGCCATATGTCTAAAATTGATTTAAATTCAGATAGGTGTGAAAATATTTATTATATTCCACATCATTGTAGTGTAGTGTTCGACGCATCTGCGAAATCAGAGTCAGGTTTATCGTTAAATGATGCCTTAAAGGTTGGTCCGGTCATACAAGATGATTTATTTTCAATCGTGCTTAGATTTCGGCAGTACAATTTTGTTCTCACAGGAAATGTTGAAAAAAGGTATCGACAAATTAATGTTGACGATGTAGATAAGCATTTTCAACGTATAATTTGGCGATTTGATTCAAATTCGGATCTAGAACATTATGTTTTAAATACTGTGACTTATGGCACAGCTAGTGCCTTATATTTAGCTACAAAATGCCTTCAACAATCGACAATTGGTTTCAAAGAGAGTTTCCCAGATGCCTGTCATAAAATATTAAATGATTTTTATGTGGATGATTTTATATCAGGTTGCAATAATGCTAATGAAGCGTTGCAGTTAAAAAATGATATTTCAAACATTTTAAAGCAATCTGGATTCTCTTTGCGCAAATGGAATTCGAATAATAAAAGCATATTATATTCAGACATAAATGAAAAATCAAATTCTGTTGAAAATACAAATTTTTTAATTACTGATAATAAA